TAACTTGGGCCTCACCAATATTTGTATCAGAATATTTTTGTTTATAGACACTTTGACTGGAGGCACCATCAAAGCCACCTTTAAAGTGAAGTACACCTTTAAACTTCCCCCCAATTTCTGCAAACATTCTCATAGAGTCTTGGCATTCCGTAAAAGTTAATATTCTTTTCAGAGTATGATTAAACATACCCTGTAGAGGAGTTGAAACAGATGTTTCTGTCACAATTAAACCCTCAAGATAACACTTGTGTCTCTCATGCTTAATTTCGTGAAGTGAGGGATAAATATCTGCATTATATATTATGGATGAATTTCTAACAATTTGATACTGCTCATCAGAAAGGTCACACTGAACTTTTAAGCTCAAGGCATCTTCGGTTTTCATTTTTATCGGAAAATTTATCTCCGTGATATTAACTTTTTCAGAGTTTGTTCTTTTTTGGTAGGATCTCTAGTGGCTTTTTTAATTGAAGCTAATGCCAATGCTTCAGCAGAATGTTCAGCCAATTTGGCAACCTTAAACAAGATAATATTTAATATTTAAGTTTGTAAACTATTTATTCAAACTGGGTTGAACTTAATTTATTTATTGTTCCAAAAGTCTAGAGAAGGTTCTTGAATATTTCTGCAATTTTGATCGGAATTTACATTTAAATATTATTTTAGAGTTTTCTTTAGATTTAACATTTTAGGTTTGTCAATAATTTCATAGTACAGACCCTCCAGTCTACAAAACTCACGTATAAGAGCTATGAGTAAATTATCATGATTAATTCCTAACTCTTGAATTATAGGGACTAAATGTATTCTTTTCATGTTTAATGTAAGCAATGAACTATTGTTAGTTATTTTACACGCAAGTTTGAATTTTAAAATATGCACTATAACATCAAATATTGCATATTTTGGTTTTGAGGTTTGATAATTAGCACCATCTGCTTGAGCATGAGTTTTTTTAGTAATAGGAACTAAATGTATTATTTGTGTGATGAATGCAAGCAATGAACTATTGTTCGCTACTTTATGCGCAAGTTATAATTAAAAACAGAAAAAAACAAACAAACAAAAAAAACGAAGTATTTCAAAGGTCTTATTTTAATTGGGGCAAGTTGTGGCAAATGATTTTTATTTTTTCTGCTTTCATATATACCTATTAATGGGAAAATATTAAAACTACCATGGAATCTAGTGGAATCTTTTAGTTTTTGAACTAAACTAATTTAAAAAAATCAATTTATGACATATTTTTGAGATCTCAGTAATGAAAATCTAAAATGAAAATTTATTGTTAAAAATGTTGTTAATAGTTATCAAACATCTTAACTATATGACTTCAAGTTAAATTTTGAACTGTTTTTACCTATATCAACCTTAAAAGAGTGACACTAAAGCGAGACTTTTTTGAGCGAGTTTTCCGATAAATAAGATAAAATAAATAAGTCTCGGAAAAAGACTTATAAATTGGTGAAATCTTAAAAATTATTAAAAAAAAAAATTATTTATTGTCTTTTAGTGGTATTTAGTGACATTATAAACTAATTATTTATTTTCTAGCAAAAGTTTTTTATGGGGGATTTTTTGCCGTTTTTTATGGATTTTGACTCACTGTGCGCCGGGTCCCACACAGTATCCGTATCATAATGCTAGCTGAGTAACTACTATGTTTTTATTTTTTTCACTTATTATTTCAATAAATAGACTTCCATATTTAAGATTTGACGAGCATAATTTAATTTTTATTTTGTGTGAATATTTGTATGAATTATTATTATAAGAATAGATATTCTAAAGATGATAAGAATAGATATTTCATTACAAATGTTGATTAAATTAAGTGACGATGATAACTATGAATGTTTCTTTGTTAAAATAAATCTTAGGAAAAAAAAAGATCGCATGTTGCTATAATCCTAAAAACTCTTGTATAAATAAATTTCTCAAGAATATTGGAACAATATAAACTTCTTTTCAAGGAAATATGACCTTTTAAGACTTCAACGCCAAAAAAAAGCAACAAGCATATGGAAGAGTTTTGTTGCATTTACAAGTTAAAATCGCTGATAAAGAAACCCGCATGTTTTAAAAACCTTATCAATTCAAAAACAATTGACTTTATTCTAACAAATAATTCTTCAAGTTTCTGCCACTCTACCGTAATAGATATACGAATATCTGATTTCCATGATATAATTTTAACGGTAATGAAATTTTCCAAAATAACCCAGAAAGATAATCACGTAACCAAACTATAAAAAATTTGATAATAAAACATTTCGATGTCACCTAATTAAAGAAATAAAGGGAAAAAACCTCCTAAGCAATAACTTAAATACTTTTATAAGCAACGTATTAATGTTATTAAATGAACACGTGCCTCAAAAAAAAGATATGTAGGAAAAAATCATGTACCTTTCATTACCAAAGAATAAAATAAAACCGTTATGACCAGATCTCGTTTTTTAAATCGCTACAAATTGGAAAAATATGCATTTAAAATTACATATAATTGTCAAAGAAACTTTTGCGTGAGCCTATTACGAAAAATCAAAAAGTTATTTCACGAAAATCTTCCAACAAAAAGTATCACTGATAATAAAATGTTTTGGAAAACAGTAAACTCTGCCTTAAGGAAGTTTTTCATTAAATTTCATCATCTTCATCAAGTTTCTTCGTCAAATGAAAAAATCATATTAGTTAAAAGTGACACCATCATATCGGATCAAACGTCGGTGGCTCATATATTTAATAGCCACTTCAACGACTCTGTATTGAAGTTGCTTTTCCTGAAGATTTTATTTTAAGTGTATATGACCAGGTGGACTCCATAATTCGATACTCAACACACCCAAGTAAACTCGTTCAATCGTGTTTTATTTATAGAAAACAGAGAGTAAAAATAAATAATCTTATTCTAATATTTTATTTGGTGTTCCACAAGGCTCAATTTTAGGTCCATAACAGTTTAATATTTTCATAAGTTATCTATTTCTATTTTTACCCAATGTTGAAATCTGATAATGGAAAATTACTTGGTATAATGTTTAATAATAAACTTTCCTTTGATAATCATTTTAACAATTTTTTAAATCAATCAAATAGGTATACCTATTTGATTGATTTATATAAATTGTATAATTATATAAATTGGAGAGCGCATTATTATGGGTTCTCCAGACTTGCTTCTTTTATGTCTTTGAATCAAAGAAGACCTAAACTTTACGCTTTTATTCTCATTTTTTTTAATCGTCAACTAGTTTGGTTGTTTCATAGCAGAAAACTTAACAATCGTATTAACAGAATACACGAAAGAATTGTATACCAAGACTACTAAGGTGGTAGACTGCTAAAAAAATAATTTTTGTATTTTACAATATTTCAATAAATTTTTTTACTTCGAACATGATAAATACATTAGAAAATTCATAATTTTTAACTTTTTTTTTTTTTTTCATATTCATAAAACAGGTGATTTTAGGCCAAAAACAGGCTAAAATCTTGGCAAAGATATCTCAAAAAGTATAATTTATTAAGTTCTAATTTTTTGTATTTTTATTTGTTTTATGTAGATAAATGTCCTGAGATAAAAATTTTTGTTGAGAATTTCTTTATTTTAAAGCATCGTTAGATTTTTCAAAGCGCCCAATTAATAATCGAGTTTATGATATTAAGAACAAAAAGTTTTTTGTTTTAAAAGTTTATATTCTAAATTTTTTTTATCTCAGGACATAAAGCTTATTATAATGAATCTCTGTACAAAATTTTAAGTCAATTGGACAATTACAGCTCCTGCAATATTTGCCAGAAAATTAGAAGAAGAAAGCAGAGAAAAAAGCATATAAAATTAAAAATATTGAATATACAAACTTATTAAAATCCTCCTTTTTTATATACTGCTCTTCTTAATTTTTGTATTTTTTATCAAACCCTTTCCTAGTTGTTTTATAATTTTTTCTTTGTTTTTTAATTTTTTTTTCATTACTAACCTTAACTAGCGGTTGCTATGAGCGTTGCTAGGGGAAACAAAATTACCCTACTAATATAAATCACTTTTATTAGTTCTAAATTTTTTTTCTCATACGAAGATCAATATATTTTTAGACTCTACATCAGTTACTGTTTAAAACAATGCCACTTTTGAAAAATCGTTTTTTTCTAACTTTTTTAGCAGTCTACCACCTGCTTTTGAAGAACTTCTTATAAAAAATGGTTTGATAACAATACATCACAAGAATTTACATGTATTGATTACGGAAATTTTTCAAAGTTAAATTGCGGTTTGCCCATAAATTGATGAAAGAGATTTTTTGTTTTCACAGTACTTTTCTAAGAGGGGATAAACTAGCAAATAACAATATACAAACTATGAAATACGGTAAAGAATCCCTTTCGCATTTGGGATCATCAATTTGAAATTCGGTACCAGTGAGTTGCAAATCAGCATCAACTCTGAAAGAATTTAAAGTAAAAATCAAAAATTGGATTCCAAAACACTGTCTCTGCAAATTATGCATGACCTATGTCGAAGACATTGGATTTATAAAGTCGCATATTTTATTTATGCAAGCTTTAAAAACCTCGTTACTTTTGATTTTTATTATTGATCTATTTAGTATTTTTCTTGAATTTTTCATAATTGTTTGATTTGACTTTAATTATTATAAAACTACTTAACCTGTATGTAAAAATTTCAACTATAAATAAATTGCAAATAATAAATAAATACCCCTATGTTGGGACATGAACGTTCAAAAAGCAACAAGGACTGGACTTAAAAAACTTCTGATACAGACGCAACGAAGTTACGGATAACGATGGATATGCCGAAAAATAAAACAATTATTAAATTGACGGAAATTTTAAGTAGAACAATTGGTCATATTGAGGTAAGTGGTAAGCAGAAGATAGTATGCGTCAGGATGTGTTTTTTAATTATGCGAATTTTATTTGTTACGTCATGGTAATGTTGAATTACGTTGCGTATTTGTTTTCATTCGTTATTTCCACGTGCTTTATGTTTTATAAACTTTAAATGGATGAAAATAAAGATAATAGTAAGTTTACATGTTATAATAATTATATCATTCGAAAATAATATTTTTATAAAATAGATTTAAAAATATAAAAGATTATAAATTTTTTGATTCGGGATAACATTGGTTAAGGTAATAAAATTATTATAATGGAATGAATCAATTTTTACTACATTTGTGCCAACTAAAAAATATAGCTATCGTAGCTTTTTTTGTAAATTACATTCTTTTATATTATTTTCTTTTTCATATGAAAAAGAAATGAATATAAGAGAATGTAATTTACAAAAAAGGCTACGATGATCATCTGAGAATTTCAGAAAAAAATGGAGCACTCTATTCAAAATGATGTGCAATAGTTGTGTAAAAAAATTTTTTTTCTCCCCCCAGTCAGTTATTATATAATACAAGTTATAAAATAAACTTTCATCTTAGCTATTTTAGCTGCAGGACAAATAATGGGTATAGTAAAGTTCAAATTATTTTCAATTTTAATACCAGGTATCTTGGTCAGGGACTTGCAAGTACCTGATACTTGGACAAAAAAAAATTTATATATTAACTTATATATTAAAAAATTTATATATTAAAATTTATATATTATTATATATTATTATATAATATATATTATATATTAAAAGACAAAAAAAAAAATTATATACTAACATATTTTTTGGAAAATGTTGGAAAAGGAAAAAGTATAACTTTGTGAATTTACCAAGCTTGGTAAATTCACAAAGTTATACTTTTTCCTTTTCCAACATTTTCCAAAAAATATGTTAGTATATAAATTTTTCAGTGATACTCAAGTAATTTTAATAAAAGTTTGTAAAATGTATGCCCATTTATTTACTAGCATTTAGTTTTAGACCATATTTACTAACCAGCCTCAATGCTTTTAAATTGTAAAGTTATTTATATTGTTGTTTATAGCTAACAGAAAAAGCCATACATTTATTTATAATGATGAAAATGAGGCCTTTTGTTTCATAAAACAACATGAATTAGAGTACACAGTTCGCTATGCAACATGGTTCACACCCAAAGGGTTTGGTAATACAGGTTAGAACCTTTTTTTTATTTACTTTATATCAATTATAAATGCCTAAGTTAAAGAACTTTGAATTTATTTACTAAATTTATGTTATAGATAGAGTAAATACATTAACCAATTAATTTACCAGGACATTCTTTAACTCCAAATTTCCTTAAAAGTGAAAATAATTTGATTTATCAAAAGTTTTCTTTTCAATACAGGTTTTCTTTTCAAAAGTTTTCTTTTCAATACAGGAAAGATTAATATAAAGCATTATTAAGCAAAAAATGTACTGATAATGAAAAAAAAGCATAAGTTTAGAGAGTAGGTTATAAGTGCATTAATATTTTCATTAAATTTCCCCCTAGGTTAGCCCTTTAGGCTAGAGAGAAGGTTTTTTCTTCTCAAATTTAGAAACGAAAAAAATATAAATTTGCAAATGTTCTTTTTTTAAGTTAAAATACAAATGTTAAATAACTAACAAAAAAAAAAAAAAATGAAAGTTCATGTTAAAGGTTATTGCCTTAAGAATCAAATAAAAATGGCTAAATTTTGGGTTAACTTTGATGTCAATCTTTAATTTATTGCAGGTTTGAGTTATGGAGAGATTTATATAAGAAAAATCAACAGGAATTCCAAAAAAATTTGAGTTACTGGAAGTTTGAGTTACCAGGGGTTTGAATTATTATGAATTTACTTTATTTTGAATTATTTAAAACAAAACATAGGTTTGTTGAATATATAATTGACTAATCACAATTGGTGTAAAATAAATTGTGTTATATCTAGATGTTCATAGTAAAAAGCACAAAGTGTTATGGGAAAGTGAAGGATGCTATGCAAATGTTCCATTTATGGTTTTAGCACGCAAGGTTTTGGATTGCTCACATGGAATAGATCGTAATGATGCAGCAAAGAAAGCATACAAGAATAAGACAAAAACAAAGGTAAATTTTATTATCAATAAAAAAAGATACAAATAATAACTTAATCATTAATAAATAACTGTTATTAATGTACTTATTTTATAATTTTAGATAACTGAACACTCTTGTATGAGGAGTTATATCAATGTGCAGGACACAAAAAAATTTGAATGCCCAGCCCAAGCTATTTTGAAGGAAATTATATACTTCAAGGATTACATGGTAATTTTAAAGTGATTTACTAAGGTGGTTAGAATTTTTGGTACTATATATAATGCACCAACATTAAAAAAATTTTAAGAATAGCATTTTAAACATGTTTTGTAATTTATAATTCACGCCAATATTAGAACTATTTTTAATTCAACGCAAAAAGAGTGCAAAGCCATATAAGTAAAACACACTCGCAGCGTTGTTTTAATAAGACAAAATTGAGATGTAATTTATTTAAATGCAGGTCTAGATCGGAGTTTTAGTAATGCTTATTATGTTTCATTTGAACATACTTCTATCCATGTAACTTTTTTTTTTGGACATATCACTGCATAAACTGTATAATTTTTTTGGGCATGTCACTGCATAAACTGTAACATTAATTACCTCTTTTTTGTTTATTTCCTTTTTCATAATTTTAAAGCTTGCTGAACCCAACACATGGAAAAAGAGAAAAATTTCTTTAAAAATAAAAAATTTGCTCAAGAACAAGAGCGACATTGGATTCACTGAGAAGTGAATTAAGCTAATTATTGATGACATTTCAGAACACAGAAACCATGCTGTTAGAGAAGTAAGTTGAATTTTATTATTAAATTGTTTATAAAGTAAATGTTTTGAAAAATTTAGAAATTATTATTTTTTTTTTCAAAAAGAATTTTTGATAAATATTTAGCTTTTCACTTTTAAAGTCATGTAGCTGTTGGGTATAAGTTAAGTATTATAGTATAGTATACTTTAGTTAATATAGTTACTATACTTACCGTATTGTAAGATGATACTTTGCATGGATAATATTGTTTAATATGTCAATTAAAATACACCAAGTATTATCATTAGTGGTATACCACTGTATTGCCGTTGAGGTTGATGTGAAAATTAAAGTGTTCAAAATGTTTATTATAAATTATTATAATAAACATTTTGATAAATTATTATAATAAACATTAATTATAAATTATTAAATCATAATTTTACAAATAAAATAGCATGTTTATGTATTGGGCATCGCTGGAACTTTTATTTATCAACCTATTTTCCTTGCGTATCAATGTTTTTGTATTGTATACCATTATGTTGTCTGGGACGGATTCATTTATTGATGACATCATTGTCAATAATAACATAATGTCAAGTTGCAGAGTTCAAGAACTCTTGAAAAAATATGGCTTGGATTCTAAGCTGCCAGAAAAACTTGTTGGTGGGCGTGTGCTTGGATTGCAAGTGTACAAACAATGCAACCAAGTGCGCTGGAAACGTGACAACATACTCAAAGTTCCTGAAGGAAAAATGACGCGTCCGCAAGTCTTTTCTTGGTGCGGACAGCTGACTGGACATTTTCCAATAGCAAATTGGTTGCGCCTTTGTGCAGCTATCTAAAAAGGGTTTTGAGTAGTTGTGGATGGGACACTTTGGTGAACGATGGTGTTGTCAAATTAGTAAGCAGTTTAAATGAAAGACTTACAAAGAAAGATCCGGTTCATGTGTCATGGAACGTAAAAAACACTTCTGAAGTAACAGTGTGGTGCGATGCAAGCAGTTTAGCTGTTGGCATAGTTCTGGAAGTGGCTGGGGAAATAGTAAAAGCCTGCTCGTGGCTGAGAAAACAAGATGATGCGGCTCACATTAACCTCGCAGAGTTAGAAGCTGTGATAAAAGGAATCAATCTACCAACAAAATAGGGATTCGAATGTATTACCATAAAGTGTGACTCGGCTACTGTTGTTGGCTGGTTGAAGACCTTGTGAAGGAGTGCGGTATACAATTAAAACTTTTCCTGGTTAAGTCAGCAGAAAATAAAGCGGATGCTCTTACGAGGGTACCACAGCATTGGCTGCATTCAAACCATTCTGCAATGACAGCAAATCTCGTACCGCCTGATGTGAAGTTGTTTCATAATCTTCATCACTTTGGAGTAAATTGAACCCTTTATTTGATGAAACAGACATATCTGAAGGAGAAAGTTTGTAGAAAAGATTGAATCAGTCGTCAAGAGTTGTGAAAGATGTTTATCAGTAGATCCTGCTCCAATCAGATGGGAAGAAGGAAATCTTGAAGTTGGAAAGAGCTGGTACCGTTTAGCTATTGACATTACCCACTATAAATCAGAGATTTATTTGTCTATCATTGACTGTGGCAAAAGGAGCAAGTTTGCAATTTGGAGGAAGCTACAAAACCAGAAAGGAGCAACAGTGTGTTTCCATCTAGAAGAAATATTTCAAGAAAGAGGACCTCCGTGGCAAGTTCTTCTTGACAACAGCAAGACCTTTTGCTCAAAACTTGTTGGTGAATTATGCGCAGAATGGGGAGTGTCCATCCTGTTCATTGCGCTCACAAGCCATCTGAAAATGGAATTGTTGAACGTCATCATCGCACAATCAAGCTCATGGCAGCAAGAAGTGGAAAAGATCCGTTAAAAATGGTATATTGGTATAACGTGGCTCCCAGAAAAAATGGCAAGGAAACATCGCTCCCCTACAAAGCTATATTTTCCTATGAGTGGAAACCACACACAATTTTTGACAAAACTAACGAGGAAGTTCTCCACAACTACACACAAGGACAAGAAGTATTTGTAAAACCACCTGATTCAAAATGTACTAGCGAATGGAATAGAGGAAGAGTCTCAGATGAAGGATGAGGAGTTTTGGTAGAAATCAATGGATTGCCGAGACACATGTCAGACGTCCGTCCAGCTCCCATTGTAGCTAACTTGTCTACGAGAAAACCGGAAGAACCCACCGCGAACAACCTGAATCTCAGAAGATCGACGCATGTGCGGAAGTTTCCGAATAAGTATGCCGACTTTGTGATCTAGAGAAACTATTAAGGTGTTGCGTCAGAAGGAATGTTGTAGGCGGGTCGTATATATTATATTGTACATAACGTTTATACTGTTTATTATACTCTTGGGGGTATTTGTAAATGTATATATATTGAGTAAAGATATTCAGAAAGACAGTAAGAAAAAACAAATATATTTTAATATTACAGAATCTTAAAATCTACAGATTTTTAAGTCTTCTGTCAAGCTTTCTTGCTTTTCAATTTTACTCTAAGTTTTCTGTCACTTCTAACTTAAACTGTATATACTATGTTGTTGCAGTCTTGTCAGTATTGAATTAGGTAAAAGAAAAGGTGTGGCATGCAGCTTTGTTGGTTTTAAATTAGGTAAAAAAAAAAAAGAATGAAAAAAATGTATTTTTAATTTTTTAGCTTGCTGGTATTTCACAGGAAATTGATCCTAGATTATCTAAAAAAATAATAGATTATGCCAATGAAGTAAAAAGTATACACGAAATGAAACGCCTACTAAAAATCTTTGTTAAAAATGACATGTTTGATAAAACATCTATGCCTGATTTAAGAAATAGGCGATTTTTCCCTACCAACAACATTATTCGATCGCATATGGTACAAGCACGAAAGAAATTACAACTTTCTTTTATTGACCAGGAATGCCTTCTTGATAAAATAAAAATGTGGCAAAACGAGGATCCATCAGTAAATATTTTTTTTCGACCTAAAAACAACTACACATTAAATAACATAGCAGACAAAATACATAAAAATGAAGACATTAATGAAGAAGAAGATGATTTGAAGTTTACTGAAAATGATTCAGAAAAATCACTATTATTTGTTTACCAATCAGAATGGCAATGCAAACTTGTGTGTCGATATGGTAATGAAATGCTCCTTTTAGATGCAACCTATAAAACTACCAGATATGTTTTACCAATTTTTTTTATAGTAGTCAAAACAAATGTTGACTACCAAAGAGTTGGATGCTTTATTACAGAAAATGAAACGAAAAGAGCAATCTATGAGGCATTGCATGTTTTTAAAAAAATGAATCCAAACCTTTCTCCTAAATTTTGCATGACAGATTACTGTAATGAGGAAATTGATGCATTGGAAGAAACTTTTCCTGGTAAGTTTTTTGAATAGTTAGAATTTCAATAAAGTCTCCATGTTTACAATAGTTCTTTGGTTGTTATAACAGAGGGTGCAAAATTATAAAAAGAAGGTGCGAAAAAGTTTTTGGTTTGCGCTGGGTTTAAGTTGATTTACGCTTTTTGTTAAGATTGTAAAGTTTTGGTCTGCGATTTTCATCGGGAACAGGCCTGGGAGCGTTGGTTGGTAAAAGTCTCAATGGTTGTGCTAATCACAAATCCAATATCCTGCTCAAACTGAGAAAAATTGCTCATTCAACAACTATAAATGCTATGGAGTTAGCTGTAATGGATTTGAAACAATCTGATTTTTGGAATAACGAAAACTTTTTAAAGTTAAGAAAGTATATAGAAACTTATTGGTTACCTATCAAAGAGGTATTATCTAATAAAAGAAAATTATTTAAAAAATTAATTACATTTGTTTTTTAACAAGTTAAATAAATTTAATTGAATAAATTCAATTCTTTTAATTATGTATCAGCCTAAAATATTTTTTTATATTTCAATTTTTCAGCGTTGGGTTTGGGCATACCGTCAAAACCACCTACTTGTTAATTTAAACACTAACAATGGAGTGGAGAGGCAAAACAAATCTTTTAAATATTTTTACCTCCAACGATTTAAAAATTATTCATTAACTGGAATGCTAACAATCTTAATTGAAGAGTTTTTTATAGATAAATATCAAAGGTAAACGACTTGTTTTATATTATTTTAAATTATTAAACTTATTTTTGTTAAAATTATTTACAATTAAAAAAAGTGTCATAATTTTATAACGAGTATTAAAAGTATATAATTGCTTAAACTACTGATTTATAATGATATTTCATTATGTTTAGTTTATTTTTTAGCTATACTGAAAAGAACTTCAAAATGGACTCGAGGTATCGTCGATACGCAAAAATAATACCAAATTTTTTAATAAATAGGCCTCGTGCATTGGTCAAGCATTGCCTTCAGAAAATCAGTTTAGCTGGAAGCATTGATTTATCTAAAGTCACAATGATAAACCATGGGGTTTTTTCCATTAAAAATAATAAAGAAAACTACCAAATTAATTTTGGAAATGATAGATCTATGCCTAACTGCACATGTCCTTCCTGGCGTTCATCTTGCTTTCCCTGCAAGCATTTTTTTGCCATTTTTAGAAAGTTTCCACTCTGGCAATGGGATGCATTGTCAGAACTCTATCTTAATTCACCATTCTTAACATTAGACAATGAAGAAAATACTTTACCTGACAAAATAAATTGTTTTCAAAATAAAGAAACTTTGTATGCAACAAATGAATGTGACATTAGTTTACCAATTTCTAAAAATCTAGACTTGTCTG